ACACACCAGACCACTTTTTACCACGTTGGCACATGATTCGCATTTGCTTTTCGTACGAGACATGTTCTCAGTAGGGGTAGGAAGAGGATGGAGATACTGACGCACCGTTGCGTGGCGATCGGCGCTGGTTTGAGTTCAGCAGGTCTTAACTGGTTGGCCAGACCGGGTAGATGAAGGCCTAAGAACATTTTGCACTCGAAGACATTAAGTAAGCGTCGGGGACAGCTGCATAGTTTGGGGCTCTCGAGTCATCGTACCCAAACGGTACCGCCAAACAATCCTGCGGGAACTTCATATGGGTCACCAAAGAAATTCAAAGATAAAGCCACTAACACGTAACCGCATCTGATGGCCGGGAGTCGATCAAGAGATAGAACAACTCGTACAACTGTGTGCTAGCTGTCAAGAAAATAAATCATCCCCATAACCTGTGCCAATGTCTCCATGGCAATGGCCCTCGCGCCCGTGAGACGGAATAAACATTGACCTCGCTGGACCCATCGACGGCCTCATGGTTCTGGCTGTATTGGATGCCCATTCCAGATTGATCGAAGCTCGGGCAATCACATCCGTGACTGGGTCGAGCACTGTGCACAGCTTAAGGAATATCTTGGCTACACATTGTGTATCATGTACGGTTGTGTCAGATAACCGCCCGACATTTACCAGCGACGAGTTCGCACAATTCCTACGTCAAAATGGAATCGAGCATGTTATCTCGGCACCATATCACCCTTCGTCCAATGGGGTGGTAAAGGGAGCGGTTGCGACAAGCAAACAGGGTGTGGCCAAATAACAGTCAGGAACTTTATAAACCCGCCTGGACGAATTTCTGTTATAATATCTAATTATGCCACACACTACCACGGATCATCAACCGTGGAAACTGATGGGATGACGTCTGCACACTCGGTTGGATCTGATTATACCCAATATGCATCGAACGATCGGTAAACGCGTCTGTGATCAAGCAACGCTACGACATAAAAACGAGGGATCGTGTGGTTGAGGCATGCGCCAGAGTATATGTTAAACTGAGGCCAACGGATAGAACTTGGATCCGAGGGACTTCGAGATCGACAAGAGGTAGTGCAGTGGAAGCGGAATTAGAAGATGGGCGAATACTTCAGGGTCACTTGAACCAAGTGCGACGACAGCCGGTGAGTCCTGCAGAGGAAAAAACAAATTGCCCATTGCCTGTACTCCTGAGAATAGCGCCAGAAGCATTGCCAAATGAAGACCACACTGAGCAACCTATACAACCATGGCGATCACTTCGTGAGAAATGCAGCGCAGAACACAATCAAGTTGGATACTCAGTCTAGCGTTGGAGGACTGTTGTGATTGGTTATCACGAGCCACGGCCTGTCTGGCCATGCACGTGACTCATGTGTGTGAATAAACGTTCATGTAATCAAGCGAACCAGTGACTTGGTCGTGTGTACACATTACAGCCGTGTCCTTTGTGTTTCTGTGGTCTTCTCAACAATACTCCACAAATGCACGGTGCTGTTAACTTCGTTACGATTTTCGCGTTTGTGGCATATTTTAAGAATATATTTTATGACATCTTGAACTTATCGCGAATTTGTTGATAACCAATTGATAACATATGCTGATTTAGCGTAGAGTTATATCGGCATTTCCGTATGCTTTATTCGACATTTATTATTTGTTACTATGATTTCATGTGACTGGTTGTTACTTGACATCTCCAGTGGGGCTGTGCTTGATGTACATGTTGACAAGGTGCATACCTGTCTAACACCCTCCACCTCAATTACTGGATCCAGGAGACTGCAAATCGTTTCTGGGGGAGGAGGGTTGTACGGTCCTCGTGACCGTGCTAGGCTCGAAGACTGGTTCCATACACAGAGTGGAGCGGACTACGGTCCAGCTATCGCCTTGTGTGCGATTGATTCCCAACTAGAGCGTGCTTGTTTTGCCTGTGAAGGAGTGTGGCCCGGCTCCGTTAATGGAACGTGGCTTCCATCCGCTTGCCTCCCGGTCTTATTCCTTCGGGTTTACACTGGATATGGGGTGTGTGGGTGGAACTGTGTGTAATGCATCGCAAGCCACTCATGGTCACTCTGTAAGCGCAGGCGTCCTGTGGCTGTCCACCTTTAGGCCGCATTGACAGTCAAATCCGGAGCCGGACGCGGCCCACCATACAAACATAGACCGCATCGATGCCGCTTCCATGCTTTCCCCTTCGAGAGTGGACACGAAGTCCGGTGTACATGGTTTGTTCCCCGTCATGTATCTTGTGAAGGATTTATATGGTTATAAATTGGTAATTCAATGATTACCTCATGTAATCTCACTACGAAGTGTATATTGATATATGCCAACATTTCTAAGGCGTGACGATTATATTTACCTACTAGAAAAATATGACTGTGTGAGTGTATGAGAACGGTCTTCTAACGGGTCTAGGCGATTGTCCATTTCTGAAGTGGAGGACGGAGGGCGGTACACAACCGAAAGTAACTGGCCTCGGCAACAAAAACACTCTTGTAGGTGGTGGTGAATTTTGTGCATGCAGCGCATACGTGTAATTTGTCCGGTGTCACAGTATCGTGGCTCTTTTTTGTACTGTTGCGTTGGGTTTGGCATGTTTTGCTCCCAAATTTACCACATTTGATAGCATAATATTGTTATAATCATTAGTGGGGTCATTTGATGTATATTTTTGCTTCGGATTCTACACTAGGCGTGCTGGTGTGTAACTTTAAAAACCACTCATCGAAGCGGATAGCAGTTTGCACAGACGGAAAAATACACTGGTTGCTATCCCCTAATCAATACTATTCTGACAAATCTATGCTACTTACTGCGGACTGATTCTCAAAAATGGGATACTACGGTAGTGCGGATTAGTCGGCTCTTGGCGTCTAGCAAACGCTAGCAAGAATGACATTTTTGATGTTTGAATTTTTAAAATGAGCTTAGATTTTGAACGGATTGCAGATGGACTGGGGTTTACGATGTACGCTGTTTGGCAGAAACCGTCACATTGGCTTTCAGCGCGGCGATAACTATGACAGCGCGGGCGTAACCGTTTTGGTATGTATTGTGTATGTATTATTAGCAAAGGTACAACGAATAGACCTAGAGATAAAAAACCATGGAATTCAAGAAAAGATAGGTTGAATTGCCGCGTCATCGTCATCATGACACCTTAGCGGAAAATGAGGCACATACTGCAGCTATTGTGACGCAAGGACAAAACGGAACACATTTTGTTATTTTAGACGAGCCATATTCTTTTCTTTGTCTTTTTCTACTATTACTCATAAGGAGTCTGAATCTAAGGAAGCATGCACGCAGATTTTCCACTGGTTTTGATTGCGCACACCACCCTGAATTGTTTCCTACAATCGGCACGGTTCTTCTTTTGGCCTCTAACCACGCTGATGTGTGAATCTAACATAACGCTATTGATCTAATATGCTGTATGAAGGGGGGCTGAGAAATAGTATACTCACCACTATGCAGCCTGCTTGATGTAGAAGATAGGGCGTCGTTGATTATATCCTGCGACGGCCTGACCATTAAAAAATTATTCGTGGTGGAGTTCATTGTACGCTGTGATCCGTGAACACATTGGGCTGAAAATTCACCTACCTAGGTGCATAAAGCCTACTTCGACTTGACTTTGACTTTCTCATCATAGTCCTCAAAAGAATGCGTTTCTCACGGTTGGTTTAACGGTGACGTCGTTTTCGGTCTGCTGAATATAAAGCTTTCCGTCACAGTGAACAGAGCCTACGCAGCCACCAAGCTACACGTTCTTGCGGAGACTACTTGTTTTATTGATCTCTGACTCAAGTCCGGGACAGTTCTTTCCCACTACCATGAAAAGGATGATTTCAAACCTCTGAAACCGCAAGTTCTCCATTTGTCTCCATATGTCCATATTACTATTATTATTCTTCGTTCGCATGCATTCTTGTATTAGGGTTTTTCTACCTTACGGATTGTGTGACATGCGATCTAATGTGGACGCGTTGCTGTAGCTCACAGATGGTCTCACAACTGCAAATTGGTGCTCTATGACCTATATCTCTGGCTGGCTATTTCTAGTCTGCTGCTGCAGACCGCTGAGAAAGCCTCCTACAAGATAGCTTCGTTTGTAAGTCCTGAGTAAAGTGATGGGTCCCACAGACAGCTGTGCCTTTCATTTACTAGCTCTGGTGTGCCAAACTTAGTACATAATGCGACTTATATGAACTGGCAGATGCACGACAACTTTCAGCCAATATGATAGCATTCATCCTCTATTTTCTTCCTCTTGCAATGGAATCAATATTACTATTTACTTTTTGATTTACTCATGACGTCGTGTCTTTTGGGGCCAACCGTGTCCTCTGCAACGTTCGTAACTTGCATGGCAGTGGAGGACAAGACGCGTTATGTCGCAGTTAGCTTGTAAATCATGACGGTTCGAAGCTGTCCCCCGTGGCCCAGTGGCATAAGCTGTTGACTGGTGGTTCAAGCCGCTAGTGGTCATGGGTTCGAATCCTGATAGATTTTATGGATGCGCACTACTGATGATGCCCAACTGGCTGAAAATGCAGTCTAGTGCTTTTCCGGGCATGTGGACGACTATCTGACTTGGAAGGTGGCTGCGAAGAACCTCAATTATTTACCTTTTACCTATTGTGGTGAGTCTTATCTTAGCCAACTGAGCATCTCCATTTTTTTCTTTTAGCCTTCGTTATACTACCCTACAACTCTGGTGGTTTCCCCAGCAGTTTCAAACCATGAACTGTGTGCCACGAATACTCTTCCCGGTAACATAGCCTATGTGCCTGGTACCGCGAACATTGCTCCAGTAGGGGAAAATTTCACCTGTCCTGTGTCTGTCACTGGAGTGCTGCTCACACAGGCCAGATCCATTGCAAACCCTGGAATACAAACCTCGGTTCCGTTCTACACTGCCCACCTCGGCTCTATTCAGCCCCAAGTGGGTAGCTGGAAACTCGCCTCTAATGGGAATGAGTCCGCTAACACAGCAGTTGCTAAAGCATCTACTTCTAAAACGAATTGTGAATCGGATGCAAATAAAGCTGACCAGATAAAGAAGCCATCAGTCACTTCCACCCAAGCAACACCCTTCACCCCTATCAGTAATACTGACCTCCCTGGGTTGCAGTCAACCACAACCCATGGCACACATAACGAACTCAGTTGCCGGTTGTACAACAGCTGTCCACCTCAGATTCTCTTGCGCCCCAGTGATGTGCGCTTTCTAGATCAGGCAGAGTGTTCCGGGAAAAATTCATTTCAGAACAAGTTGCCCTCAACCACTGCTGAGAATCAAATCAAAGTTTCCACTATAGACTCATGTTGCAATTCCAAATCAGATGGTCTACGCTGGCAAATTCCTATGCATAAAGGGAATCACAGCACAGCTCAAAGGAACCAGTCACTGTTAAGTTTGCAACAGTCGTCTTCCTTTTGTTCAGAACATAATAGCCATCCGTCAATAGCAACATCTTCCGATGACCCTAAGCTGAATATCCAAGTCCTCACAGAGACCCGAAGAGCGAAGACCGAAAATGTCAACATGATACCAGTAGACGGATTACAAACGCAACCGGCCAATCAGGTGGGTGGAGTTTTCATTTGTCTTCTCAAAATTTGGTGTGAGTATGTAGCATTAGTTTGGGGTTTTGGTCAGTTTTCGTCTCACTTTTCGGGGGGTCCAACATTTATAACACATTCGGCATTGGTGTCACATACTCCTCAAGCCTGTGCAACACGGGCTCATGCAACAGAAAAAACGCAAAATAGCAGCAAGAGACGGAAAAGCTAAAACGGCGAACAAAGTTCGACTTTAAAGGGTTATATATACTGCCTGTTATTTGATCGTTTGGTCTTGTGGTGAACCGAATCGCATAAGTACTAAGCCGAACACGCAGGACCACAATAATTTGCCAATCCCAAAAAGTGCTTGTAGCCCTTTAACTACCATCGATTTTTATTGTGAAGGCAGCTTTGACTATTACCCCTTCCATTTTACTAAGACCACTGCTAATAAGCGGATATGAACTTCTCCAAAATCCGCATTCACAAGCACAAGAGGAGATGAGATAATGAATCAGTCGTTAGGCATCAGGTTTGAGTGATCCAGTCATTCCCCAATTCCACAGGGTCTTGTACAAGTTAGTATGATTACGTCAAACGGTTCTGAAACCGGTTTTATCAGTTATTCGTAAACGTGCTATCAAATAGTACGTAAGTAAATAGGATACGATCAATTTATGTAATTCCTAAAAATCTTACGCAAAAACAGATGAAAAATAGGTTAGGTTTAGGGTATTGTTAACCATAATGTGTTAGATGCTGAGGCTGCACCTTACCGTGGTGCGATGGTTTGCGTGCCTCAGCGATCCATTGAGCTATGCTGGGTGGTGCTTTTTTGCACCTTTAGAGCCACTCATACCAGATTGGTCAATGATTAGAGGCCAGACAAACTCAGCTTCCTGGTCCTCCAGATTGGGGGTTGGAATGAGGGTGGCTCCTTATTCCTTAAAACGGACTCCTTGTAGCCAAACCCGCTGCTTTGCGGTAAGGTTTTTGAACCAAAGCCCTTGGTTGAGAACCCTAATCGTTCTCCTGTCTAGGCCTAGGCACACTGACAGTATACTGCCAATGCAATACAATGAATCTTCCCTCTAACCATTTCTTGATGCTATGGCCGTCGCAGAGCATACTCAACGGTGCCCTATCTGCTGCATCGAGCAGGGTGGATAGGGGTTTGGATGCTACTGCTCAGGCCTTCCCGTCTTCTTATCCCCCTTCTTGCGCTTGTTCATCCTTATCGTCCCGCTCCAACTTTACTTTTCTCCTCCATTTTCAATCCCCCAATTTTTGACCCTCCCCACCTTGCTTCAATAGTTGCTTGTCTACTAGTTTCAACTCACACAGTCGCAGGACATCGCTCCAGTCCAGTCGACAAGTTCATGTTCCACCAAGCGGACAACGTCCGTTTGTCCGGTTTCCTTTGGAGTCCTCGGGTCTCGCTAAGACTGGTATAACGTGAGCATTTTGTTACAGATTGGCCAACAGGCAGCACTTGCCCGCACACTAAAAACCCTATTGATCGATATTTGCTGTTTATCAGAAACCCGCCTGAAAGATTCGAGCTCCGTGGTTGCCCTGCGACCCCCTACATGCGACACTGGCGGCACATTCTCACTGCGCCTGTCTGGCGATGATGCACCTGTAAATGCTGCTCAAGCTAGCGTCGGCATTGTTTTGAGTACCCAGGGTGAAACTGCTCTGATCGATTGGATCCCAGTCAACAATCGGTTGTGCGCCGTTAGGTTAGCTCGTTCGTTCCATGTTACGAAATCGAGCGGGAACAAACGGCGCATGTTTGTCATTGCGGCCTACACCCCTACAAACTGTAGCACTGCTTCGGTGAAAGATGATTTCTATCAGCAACTTCACGATCTCCTTCGTTACAGAAGAAGCACGGATACTGTGGTGTTAGCTGGACATCTTAACGCCCAAGTCGGAAAATGTCCTCTGATGAGCTTCATCTGGATGGCTAACTTGGTGTAGGCTCCCTTAATGATAACAATGAGCGATTTCTACAGCTGTGTGAAGATGCTCGTCTCTTTCTCGCGAGCACAAACTTCCGACACAGCGCCCACAAAAGCGTGACTTGGCGCGCACCAGCCTCGGGCCAGTCATGGACGCAAATCGATCATATCGCGGCCAGTTACTGTTGGAGAAGCTGTGTCCAAAACTGTCGCTCGATTTGGAACACGAGCGTGGACTCTGACCACGCACTTGTCTGCGCCGACCTCCGGGTGCGTTTCGGTGGACGTCCGCAACGTCGTTGTGAACAGCTTGACAACAGCCAGTTGGCGAAGCCAGATGTTCTGAATGTGTATCAAAGTGCATAATATAACTCTTTTAGCGGCCCGATAGCCAGAAGTTAACTCTCCGGAACGATGTCCATCAGTTACTGGGGACTCAGCCGGCGTGCCACTGTTTTCTCTTCTTTTCCTTTGATTGCGGTGCAATAGCTGAGGTGTTTTCCACCTGCAGCTAACGTGTATAATGAGGAATGATGACTATGCTGATTAAGATCGGCACCCATTGTTTGGGATATACAGTGATCCACGTCTCTCTCACTTGTGCTGAGGCTTCATCGTACATAACGTATGTATTAAAACAGCCCTAGAAACTTTTGTTAAAGTTGTAATGGCTTGCTTGCGCATTTGCCCCACCGGTATAGAGCAACTTGGAGCATGGAATTGCGAGTGCAACCTCTGGATTGAATACGCCACATGGCAGCAGGTCTCCTGGGGACAGTTCTACGGATGGCCGTATTACTTTACTTGTCTAAATTTGCATTTGTTAGTGTTCCCATTTTATAAAGCTATCTAATATATGCAAACTAATACACTCAAATGCATTCACTTCAAAACCCATTTGGAATTCATTATATCGAATGTAAACAATTAACTATTCTACCCGACCTCGTTGTACAAATTGATCTGGCCACTCAGTTGGACTGTGTATCGCATTGTCGAGGAACCTAGCAATTATTTATTTGTTTAATTCTACCGTTTCTGCTATAAAGAACCAACGGCTACCCATCCTCCGAGGCATACTTAGCGTGATATGTGGATACTGTCTTCCTTATCACCGCGATCAACGGTATAAGTCCCCTGAGAGTGTTCTCTTGAAAGTAATGCTTCCTATAAGTCGTAGAAAGTGGCTATTGGATTTCGCGACTACGAGAAACACATGGGAAAATGGCACAAGCTCATTTCTCGCGTGCACAGGAGTGCACAATCTTCACGCTCTGTCTAGCAGAGATAATGCTTGTGGTGCTCTAAAAGGAGAGGTAATAGCAATGGTCTGCCGCAGCTTAATCATGACCCCCGCTCTGAACATCGAGCAGTGTTAATTTCACATGAAACGGCCATCGCCAGCTCGACTGGATTATTCCTAAGACAACCTTCAATATCCAACAGCTGTTAAAACCGTAGAAGCAATCAGATTGTTGTATTACTGCTTTAGCCGCGGTACTACTGCTTACGTCTTACCGCAAAAACCAAAACTCAAGGCTCAGTAGATGATGTCTACTCCATGTAATGGACAGTTCTACTTATAATTCAACTATGATCCCCACATCTTCGGCGTCCTGGCCTCAACTAATGTGCATGCTTGCTGCTTGACCGGTTTGCTATATTTGGCCGTTTGTTCCTATCAAGTCACGACCCTCATTCACTCAATCAACTTCACTGTAGTTTGCCAGCCATTCACATCGCGCTTGGGTTCTATATTTCGCCGGCTGTACACATGCCAAGATAGTGTCAGAACTTCACGTTTTCAAGC